TAATGGATAGAATGACTGATGAACAGTACCCTGCTGCAAGTTGGGAGCGTAAGGCTAAACAGCAAGAGGCAGCGAATGCTGAGCTCAGGAATAGGAGAGCCATGCAGCCTGCTGGGCAATTTGATGCAAGGAACGCAGCACTCAGGTGTCGAAAACCGGGTGGCGGCCGGGAATTAAAGCCGGACCTCCTGCTTGCCGGTCAGGCGTGCTACCATTACAACACGGAATTCGGGACATGTTGTCAGGCTTCTCCATGTCATCTCCAATCACTACAGTCGTTTGTGCTGGGATTACTGTCAGGCTGTACATTTTGATATAGGGAGGAGGCATTTGTTTCACAACGGAAAAATGCTCCTGCTGCAACTCACACTTTAGCACCAGTGAGCAACACTTTCAGAGCCTCAGGGTAATATGGTGCCGAGGCATTTTCTGGAATTAGTCGCTGGCGTTGTGCCGCACATGCACTAAATTCCCTTTGTGCGTACGAACAAGTTCTTGGAAATGGTCCGTACTGTTCCAGAATCATTGGTTTCTGTACTATATGCTAACGTTAATAGCACATGAGCTAATCGGTGATGCAAGAGTATTGAATGTGCTAGGGAGACGAAATCAGCAAAGTCGTCTTGAATCTCATGAAGACGTGCTAAACCGTTCACAATGAACGATTGTGCCAATCAGCTGGAAAATCATGATGATGGTGTTCAGGAACAGAATCTCCCTGTGTACCGTAAGCTATAAGTGTGTACATGTAATGAAGCGGTTCAGTTCTGAATGGGAAATGAGGTGAACGGAGGATTGTCAAGGAGACCTTATGCTCACAATAGACGGTTCAAATTTCCACCTATTAGACGGCCAGCGTAGCGGCCGCAGGCCTCTAGTAGGTTTTTGAAACACGAAAAACCTATAGGATCCCTATAGGATCTATTGTATTCGAGGAGAATTTTTTGGGTTTCGAAACCCAGGCATTAAGACGGAAAAGTGACTGGCGTTAATATTTACGCAGCATTTTCGTGTAAATCAATTACCGATTAGAGGTTTTCCTATGGTAAGGACGCTCGCATTACTAATACCAGAACTGCCCATGTCTGCATAACCTATGTCCCCGACCCACATTTGTCGCTAGATTGGGCGTCCTCTTCGACAAAGAAAACTCATTCTTTGCTCGACATAAGGAAGCAGAAGACAGAACATGGGAACACGACCTGTGCTGAAACTTCATTCTAATGGAGTTTACTCCATACTTTCGTACGTGGATTTGAAAGGGAATATGGGAATATTTCTGGCCTGGACTCCGTGATTCTATCTGGAGGATGGGGATGACAAATAAGAAAGTGTCGAAGTTTATTGATTGCTACAATGAGGCAAGGCGAGACATTCGGGGATCTACAAAACTCTCTTGTGAGAGATGATTCCATGTGTAAGGGGAGGGCACTTTTGTGTCCTTTGAGAAATGCGACAACCCAATATCTCCATCTAGTGGCCTAGAGGAGAACTTCAAATGGAACCCTTTGGGCTTATAGTGTTCGTTATAAGCCCTATAGGGAACCCTATAAATCCTATAGGTTCTAAAGGGAGACCTATAGGTCCTTTAGGGAACCCTATAGGTCCTGTAGAGAAATCTATAGGTACTATAACGAACACAACAGGTCCTATAGGGTAACCTTATAGGTTTTATAGGGAACCCTACGTGTTCTATACAGAACCCATTTGGTCCTGTAGGGAACCCTATAGGTTCTATAGGGAACCATATAGGTCCCAAACTCATCCCTATGGGGCCAATAGGAACCTATAGGATTCCTTTATGTTCCCATATATTCCTAAAGGAATACATAGGAATCCTATGATACATTTTCGTAAAGGAAGAAGCAAGAGAAAGAAGAAATGTTGCAGTCGGCGCACCCCATTGGAATCGAGTGTCATCCTCGAACTCCCCTCGTGCAGCGAGTGCGGGACTTTCCATGGCGTCGTTTGCGGGTCGCAGTGAGCGTCGTCGCAGGTGTGAGTCTCGGGTGTGCCAGATTCGCGAGCGACGCATGCGATCGCGTACTTTCCCATCGAGTGGTTCGCGTCTTCCGGTCGTCATTATTATTTCCTGATCGCGACGCATCGCCAGGCCACCGGGAGACCAGGCAACGCAAGTGCCCATATGCTCGCATGCTCGCATCAGCCGACGGAAAACAAGGAAACGACGGGAAAATCACCTCCGTGTTCGACCGGAAAGGGTTCGCGATATCGTAGATCGCTGCGTCCTTGTCCCGAAGAATGCGAACTCGTGACCTTTGCTACCTACTTGAGACCTTTTGACATTCGTTACACCTGGATCCGGCAGGTGTATAAAATAATCCCTTTCTATTCTTCTTTCTCGTCCTCTTCTTCCCACGCTCTCTTTAGATCGTCCAAAGTAATCTCAAAAATACATTTAATGGTGCGAAGATCCAGACTCTGGTCGGTTCATTCTTGCTTCTGAAAATTCGGAATTCCTTCCTCAAAAGGATCCAGGAATAATTTAATCCCAACCTCAGTCAAAAATTGTCGATCGTCGTCCAGCTGCCAAACGAAGTCCGTTCCACGCAGCACATCAGCTGACGGAATCCGGACGACCGGATGAAGGCTGGCAGGTCAGAAGGACCTGCCAGCCATTTTCGGTCTCGCGGACGTTTTTTTTTCCCGCTGGAGTCTCTGGGTCGCACTGGAAGGTCTCGTCTCCTGCGACGGTTTGGGTTCTTTCAGGCCGTCTTTGCCTCTCTCGCGTTGAGATCGGCGGTTAAAATGAGCCGAGCAGTGTTTCCGTTCGCGGTCGACAGGTCCGCGGTCGATCCGGCCGGCAAGCGTCGGTCAGGTCCGGCCAACGTCCTCACCTTTTCGACATTTTCGTGCCTTCTCCCTTCTGGAAATTGTCAAAAGACGCGCGATCTCGACGTTGCGTCGTCCCTGGGAACCAAATTCAACTTGTCGAGGATTTCCGCGGCGCTTTCGTTCAGTTCCATCAAAAACTTGATGATGATTCTCTGTTCCACGAATGTTTCGTTCGTCTTCGATCGAGCACGATTGAAGCACGAATGTTTTCGCCGATCTCCAGGACGGCCACTAAACACAACCGATCGATGGAACCAGCCGACGCAATACGGACAGGAAGGCCACGCGAAAAAAAAGTCCTGGAACTTTATTCTCAGACTTCGCATATAGCAATGTGACGTTAGACCAGTTTTTGAGAGGTTGCGAGAGACTCAAAGTAAAATTGAAATGGGTCTTCATGGACTTACTTCGAAAGATTTTATATAGAATTTCATGTTAGAGAACTCGCGAGGAAGAGGCGAATAGAATACAATGGAACAATACGGATATCTATAAGAAATGATGTGACTTACTCGAGGTCGAAGCGATCGAACCAGGTGGACGAAAGACCTCCCTGCCTCCCTGCCTCCCTGCCTCCCTGCCTCTCCACAGAGTCGGTGACGGAAGCCGACCTCCGGGAGAGCGACGTCCTTTCTACCGCTTCGCTGGGTCGGAGGTGGTGTTACGGAAATGTCCAGATGCTCGCAGCAGGGGCATGGGCAAGCCACGTCATTGAGGACAGGTGATAGGGGATGGTTTCTTATGAGTTCTCCGCAGCAACTTATGGCATAAACACATATTCCCGTATCTGATGCAACGCTACGTAATAGCATTTATGGTGCAGTATGCTAACGTCATAGTCAAGAACGCATGCCGTCATTCAATGCAGCACTACGGCTATAGCGAAACTCACCGTAGGACTATGACCTTCTTGGAATGGAATGAACAGTCCTCGTGCGTGTTTCACCTGGATGAATTTCATGTTTGCATTCGGGCTTTCCACAAAGAGGTAGCATGAATCCCCAGTTGATCAAAAAAGAACTTTTGGCTGGCCGTTTTCATCATTGCAGATTGGCTAATATTCTCCGAGTTAATTATGACTTGTCTCTGATCCGAGGAAATGCTGGTTACGTCGTGGTTTTCAGTGCGACACCGGAAACCGAAGAGAGAGTGGGATTTTTCCCTCTATCCCATCTGGCATCCCAACGAAGGAGCACCGAAACGCACGTACGCGAATGCGAATGGCGCCGTAGGAAACGGCTCGTGCGCAAGGAAAAGTATCCGGGACGAAGAAGGGTATAAAATCGCGCCTGTCGGCTGGGATTCCGAGTCAGTCGGGTCTTCGGTGCCGTCGAGTCATGGAGGCCGCCGCCGTCTTGCTTGCCCTCGCGCTCTTCGTCCGTGTTCAGGTCCAGTCTCCGTCCTCTTTCTATCTGAAACGCGGAGATATTTTACGTTTTTTATTCAGTGCGCATTTCAACGTAGAAATCCTGCATATCGCGATGATTTTTTTTAAATGATTTTTTTTTAATGATTTTTTTTAAATGATTTTTTTTAAATGATTTTTTTTAATGATTTTTTTTAAATGATTTTTTTTAAATGATTTTTTTTTAATGATTTTTTTTTCTGTTTTTAGGGCGAAGACGCTCACACACGGGAAAGTTTCCGATCGTGGATGCCTCCTGCTGCTGTGCCAGGTACGCCCCGCGTGCGATTCTCCCTCGACACAGGCATATCACATTATCGCTATCCGTTCGTGTTTGCAAGGAAAACCACCTCGCAGTGATCAGATATGAGTAAAATGTACAAATGGAGGGTTTAACGTCCTCGAAAAGATTAATTTCTCGTTTCCATCACTTTGTCAAAATAATGGAGACTAAACCTATTACAAAGTGAGTGGCTCGCTTGACTAAGATCTCTCAGGTGAGAAATAATAACAAAAATCTAGCCTTTTTTTGCATTGAATGCAATTTTATTTTGACTGCAATATTATTTCCGTTACTCTTTTTCAATCGCTTCTTTAAGCATGGTGCATTCGAAAGTGAATTTTATTTTATTTTTTAATTACAGTCACTTTCCAGCTCATAAATTTCCACGATACTACATTTTCTTACTCCGTTAATTGGCTTGGGGGGGGGGGGGGCTATTGCAAAAGTTTCTATTGAATGATTCTCTACAGAGAACCGACAGACACCTTCCTGCGGACAGACCGTGAGCCTTTCACCAGGACAGTCCTCCCCTCTCATCAGTGCCAACTACCCCCAAAGTTATCCGACATATCATTTTTGCAACTGGCAGTTCTCGGTGAGTCACGAAACTCCGTTCATCTCCTAAAATCTCTCACTGATACCCATGCTTGCAATTTGCATGTGAATTTCGTATTTTGATGCAGTGCCCAGTGAGCATGACGCTGCAATGCTCCTCGTTCCGACTATCATCGTCCTGTGCACAGTCTCCCTTCTACTACAACAGCATAATGTAATAAATAAAGTTCATCACGATATTTACTGAAATACACAAAGTCTACAAAGCGTGTGAAATGTAAATTTTTCAGTGTCTGTGGGTCTTCAACGGTACTTCTGAGCCCGCAGAATGTCGGAAGCAGTCTGAGAATTTTGTTTTACAGTATTGGGACAAGTGGACCAGGATTCTCATGCTCTGTTACGTGCGGTCAGTTCAATGAATTTTCATGCAGTTCCTATAAAATGTAAAATACTCGTATGTATTGATTTTTATTCAAATTGAAATGAGAGACATCTTTCAGCATTCCTAAAACTAAAAATGTCACACAGAGTGCGCGAAGTTGGTCCTCTCGCATACTGTAGTTCTCAAGTGCGAAGCTCGAATATGTCTCTATTCTATCCTTTTCCGTTAGGCACGGGCACAAATACGACTTCTACTACCGCTCGTCCACCATCCACGACACGCCCACCATCTACGACACGTCCACCATCCACGACACGTCCACCATCTACCACTACACTCCGACCGTCTACTTCGGCTTCACCGTCTTGCGGTAATTTAAAAACTCTACAAATTGTTTTCGCATCATTACGGGTAAATATTCCTGAATTCTGCGGCAAGATGCATACCATCATGTTTTCAGTTTGCGGCGTTTCTCAAGCGACAAAGAGATCTCTTCTCCGAACAACCGACGAGGTTGAGTTCGACGTGGATAGAATCATCGGAGGAACACCTGTTCCCAGTCAGCGAAAGTATCCCTGGATGGCATGGATGGGGAGGGCCACGTTCGTGTTCAACTGCGGAGGGGCCCTCATCAACGATCGCTACGTCCTCACTGCCGCCCACTGCGTCCAATCAAAGTATTGCACTAACATTTTGGTCATAAACCTACTCAAGCACTATATACGCAAATTGAATGTTCTTTCCCGTTTCGTAGTCCAACAGGAACCTACTACGTGAGCCTGGGATCCAAGGATCTACTTCAGTGGCCGGCAGGTGAAGCCATACAGGTTCCAGCGACGGCCATCATGCATCCTCAGTATGATCCGAATACACTGGAGAATGATTTGGCCCTGCTCAAACTTGAGACCCCGGTGAATTTCCAAGCTTACCCAAACATTCGTCCCATATGTCTTTCCTCTACTGTCAACCCCGATCCGGGATCGGCTGTAAAAATCTCGGGATGGGGCCGCACTCAGGAAAGTGAGTCCATCGCGAAGGGAAGAGAAAGGCTGGGTGCTTGATACTTTTTCACTGTAACTAAAAGATTCGAAACCGTCTTTCAGACAGCTCAAGCGTCTCGAATGTTTTGATGGAAGCGACGGTGAACGTCATCAGTCAAGCTGTTTGCCAGGGGATTTTTGGTTCCGGCATCACGAGCAACTTCATCTGCATTCAGACGCCTGGAAAAAATATCTGCAACGTAAGTGGAAAGAAATACATTTTTTAATGGAAAATTTAAAAAGAATTCACGATCCACCGACTTCGCGAATCTAGGGTGATTCAGGAAGTTCTTTAATGTACCAAACGCAATCCGGGTACTACCTGAGCGTTGGCGTCACCTCGTTCTCTGGGGACTCTTTTTGTTCGCCTCAATACGGCGCTGGTTTCACAAAAACAGCAAGTATGTGTTTTCGGGACTTTCCAGGACACTTTGTTAGTGACGGGATTAATATGGGAAAATGTTTTTATTGCAGATTACGTGAACAACTTCATCCAAAGCAACACTCTGGATGCCAATTGGTGTGCGACACCTTGATTCTTCCTAGCATTTTTTTCCGTTTTATCATCTTCCTTGATTGAATGCTTCCTCTTCCTTGAAATGAAGAAGTTTCATTGATATCGTGATTTCACTTTCATGTTCACTTTTCATATTAACTGTCAAATTTAAACGACATGGCAGTCATGAAATGTGACTAATATAACCGAGATGCATCTTCTGCATCACTTATATTTCTCGTCTCGGATGCAATCGTTATGGAACGTTCCTCGATTTTGACTTCCCCTTTTCCTATGGCCCCACAATATTCTATACCTGTACGAAGAAATGCGTTGTCCATCCTTTCTAATATCATTCCCCATTCCCGTACGGCTTTGACATCGCAAAGGGTTTCACATACCCGGAGGAATGTTGGATGTCATCGGGGAAATTTCGACACCTACCGTGTTTTTCGTAAGATATTGACCAACCTTCTGCCAAACCCCCCCCCCCCCAAGGCTGGAACCCCCCCCGTCCGAGGAACATCGAGTAATCGCAGTCATCACTGCCGAAGTGCGAAGTCCACTTATCCACATGCTTTCGTAAGCCAACTACTTCGCAGCTCGACACTTGATTTAGTAACCGTTACGCGTCAAATCGAAAAACCCATTTAGGTCATCAAACGCTGTCCGAAACATCAGAGTTGGAATTGCTGTTCCTAACTCGGAAATCCTCCGCTTCTTGGGGTGCCAAGTACTCAAGGAACTTCTTCGCTTTACTTTTTTGCTTCTGAAAAGTGTGATTCGTTATTTTCTTTAATTTTCAGACTAGTATGAAATTACAGAGAAACTAAAGCGTCCCATTTTGATCATTTTTACAATTTTAATGCTCCATTTCAATATGTGGTTAGTGTTCCAGGCTCTTTGTGAATCCATGAAACGCGGTTCTTCCCATTGAATGAGTTTTCGTGAGAGCATGTTCTTTTGCCAGGGGACATCCTCCCTTATGTAAATTTCTATAGAGGATACTCTTCCTTTCTTTAGAGGTAAATTTCTTTATGTTTGCAAGTTCGCGGTAAAAAATAGATGTTCCACATGGGACGAGACGAAAGTAATTAATTAATATGCTAAAGTCATTAATGAACCGGCAAGTATCAGCGACTGACACTCGCGTGAATCTCGGCTCCCCGCTTTCCGACTTCAGGACTCGATCGCTTAAACAATTGCAGACCCCTCCTGGACTTTGGTCACGGTTGAGAAAGGGAGTCGTGAAAGCTCAAATCCATTGCGGAGCAAATGCGATGAAAGCTGGGACATTTTTGCGCAGTCCTGGAACTGGGACGGCGAGAGCGGCAGCCGGGAACACGTGCTCGTCTGGCATTCGGGAAGCGCACCTGTGCGAATCGGGGGTCGTTGGCGTCTCGGGGCATCGCTGGATGGGGGAGTCGAGCTGGGGGATCGCCAAGAGGAATAAGTCATGCGGCTGAGTTGACATCAGCGCTCTCGGTGGTCGAGCCATGGAGGTCACTGCTGTCGTCGTCTCCATCCCTGCCCAGGTCGGTTCTCAGACCTAAAGTAAATAATAATTCTAAAGTAAATAATAATTCCAAAGTAAATAATAATTCCAAAGTAAATAATAATTCCAAAGTAAATAATAATTCCAAAGTAAATAATAATTCCAAAGTAAATAATAATTCCAAAGTAAATAATAATTCCAAAGTAAATATAATGTTATCAAGTAATTCCGATAAATAGATAGAAAATGGAAGACTTCCAAACGCTGCTCTCTCCCGTGGGTTTTCCAGATGAGACTCTTTCATCGTTTGACCATTCCTACTGATATTTGACTTAAATTATTATTGGTGCAGAAAATCGCGAGGAATTCCAATGCGGATGTTGGTCATGAATGTCTCTTCACCGATCCATCCTGTTCACCGATGAGAACTATCGAAACAATCCTGTTTTTAAAATTTATATAAAATATCTCGATTTTCGTTTAGTGTGAGGAGGACACGAGGCTTCAAGGTTCCTTCTTCCAGCTCCCATCCTCAAAATGGTGCTCTCGGACCTAATTCATGCACAACGGTAATAGGTGAGGAGCGATTTGCGGTACAGCGAGATTCAAAAGTGGCTTATAACTTATGTGGCTTATAACTTCATGTACCTTCTTCACAGTGCAAATTACGAAAGTGGTATTGAAACAAAGGTATAAACATCAAGCTTTATTTTGCGTGGAACTGCCACAACTCAATGTGACTACCAGAAGTGACGTGGCAGATATCCCGGCGATAAACAAGCTAGAATTGAAGGAAAAGATCACTGCGGCTTCTGTTAGAGTTACACCGGACATACTGCAACGGGTATGGGATGAGGTATGGGTATGGGATGAGGTATGGGTATGGGATGAGGTATGGGTATGGGATGAGATTGAGTTTCGCCTTGTAATCCAGTGCGCCTGGATTTTCACGCATCGTCAGATGCAGAAAGTTCAGAGTTCCCCGAATGGTTATCAGGCTCCCGTGTGCATTGTCATAATTTAAGGAGAAGGGGGGGAGGAGGATCCTTTATGCGTAGAGAGATATATTACGCGTTCGTTTTATTAGGAGACGGAGCACATTCACTCAGTATTTCATCCCCGGGCCAACTGTGTTTATCTCCACACAAATCAGATGTTCCAAGCTCGGCCCACGTTCACGAGCCAAACACATACACGTGCGCCACGGTTTTAATATACATAGGGCGTAACCTAGATGTCTGCATTTTCTGTGGCACCCAGTTTCATACATCTGTGGGCGAAGTGTGACGCACATGTCAAGTCATGGCAAGTCCGCGACAAGCAGAGCCATGATTGCGTATCTACATGTGCAAGCACGGTACGAAAGAGGTGTATGCGTGTGTCACTCCGTTTAGGTCCGCTTTTCTGCTGCAACCTAATCATAGTACCAATTATGGTACGTTTCAGTGAAACCCAGTGATGATTCATGGAGTATGCACGAATTCAAGTCCTAGTGTCCCGCGAACACGTTGTTCTTCTTCAACTCTTTTTGGATGAGATTACCCTAATTAAATATGTTTTTCTTCTTAAAGTTAGGAGCTAAAGGCATGGTGGACCTCGCTGTCATGTGGTGGACAAACACATGACTCTCGCCCACCATGGGGAGATCCCCCCGACATGAGGGCTGGTAGAGAGCAAGTCCCTCATGAAGCTAATGACTTAGCCCTGAGAAGGTGACTCATGGCTATGGGGGAGAAGTCAGCCTGAGAGAGAGCTGCTTCTCCCCCAGGATCTCTCTCTTGATGTTTATCTTTAGGAGTTAAATTAAGGAGATAAGGAACTATTGAGAAAGCAACCTGAATTTATTTAGGTTATTATTAGTGTTTTGGGGTACTTAGCATTTAGGTCCACCTGAGCCGAAGAGGAGTGAGATCTATAGGATCCTAGTCGTTTTACTTCATGAGTCAGTGAGGTATGATTTTACTTAATTCGCTACTATATTTATATCCTATCGGAAGGGTTAAGGACAGATGCTCCAAAGATCAAAAGTCGTTTGCGGATCCAGCTGGCCGGAAGGGCCTTATCAGGTGCGGTTGCCCTAATTTTTTTCACTTTTTTTTAAATTATGAATACTTTTTATTGTTAAAAAACATACAATGCAATGTAACAAGAGGGGAATATGAAATCAAAAGGAGCCCAGCTGGCCGTAAGGGCCTTATCAGGTGCCCCAACTTGATTTTTCAGCCCCTCTCAAGAGGCAACTAATCAATTGTAGGAGGCGACATTGGCAACTGATTTGGGTGTGCTCCCCTCTTTTTCCTGAAGGCTTTATGCGAGAAGAAAAGGGAGAGGGACGTATTTGCAGAATTCATCCAAATGCCTCTTTTCTTCTTCCTCTTTCTCCAGTTCACATTTGAGATGTGTTTCTTATGAATTTTGTTTGCATATGTGCTTCACCTGCGACTGTAAAGGTAGAAGGAGAAGTCCTCCCTCCCAAAAGGACCTCCTCCCCTCCATTTCTTTTGCCGCATCAGGTGACGTTTACTGCCGATTCGGGGGACTTTCCGGGCATGGTTTCGGCGACCGACCAGGTGAACAGCTCTCTGAGAGCGGTGTGGGCGACCGTTGGGGTGAGCATGTCTCGTTTTTTCCTTCTTGATATTGTCCTTGTGTTTCCCATTGGACGCTCCATTCTTCTTTTGTGCAGTGCGGTGTTGATTCTTGAGCGAAGGGAATAGCAGTATTTCCCCCTCAGCCAAGGTCTCTATTTTTTCCTCCTCATCATCTATGTTTACATGGACTTCAACCTACTCCTTGTTTGCGCAGGGTAGATGTGAAGATTCCTTCTTGTTCCAGCTCCACAGCTTCCACCTAGTGCCCCTTGTTCGAGCACAGGTCCGACTTGGAACGTAGTTGCAATAGGTGGTGTTCTCATATTCATCAGCAGCATACGTAGATCCACACCATGAGGTAACTTTCTCAGGTACTAACAGTGGCGAAGTGTTGCCTTGGGCTGTTGGCACATCTTCCATCTCTTCAACGTTCACAGTAAGGTAGGGCAGTTGAACATACGATGGTGTGGCTGGATTGGAGATGCTGGCTGCAGGGAAGCGAAGATCCACAAACTGCTTCAGGTTCAGCCTCACAGCTTAGAGAGGTTGCAGATTCGAGTCTGACATCCATGCTCCCCCTTCCCTCGTTCCTATCTCATCTCTCGGTTGCCCTAAGTAAAGGCCTCTTATAAGGAAAATGAGCTTGTTCATAGTCTGAGCTCCATGAATCTGTCTCAGATTTGGGGAGTAATAAATGAAGAAGTGCAGGCGTTTATTAAGTTCCATAATGAGATTAGGCGAAACATACGGTGAGGTACTAAACACTCCTGCGATGGACGATTCCAGGTAAAGAGGGAAGGCATTCTTGTGCATTGTGCCAAAAACGAGAGACACACGTCCATCTAGTGACACGGAGGAGAACTTCAACTTTTCCCCAAAACTTTTTAAGAGCAACTTTGGATTGGAACATTGGATCTTCGCTGTCATTTTTAAACTTGCATCTCAAATCAAAATAACACGTATGATTCTCATCGACGCTTTTATTCATTGAAAAAGTTTTCACTGATTTTCAGCCGGATTCCCGTAGCGCCTGAAACATCTTTGCCTGCCAAGCGTGGACTAGGTGTGCAAGATCTTCGTGAGCAACGGATAGTCTAACTACTGAAGAGCCGTAGGAACGCCACAGTTTCCGCAGATGCGCGGATCTATTGCCACACATACACTGTCGACAATTAAATAGCAAATAAATTTTGAGAGTGAATCCAGAATATATATTTAAAATATATCATTTCCTCTGTATTCTTCTACCCCGAGCACAACTCCACCGAATTCTTGCCGTGGATAAAACAACAGCCATTCCACGTTTGAAATAGCGAAGGATTAATTTAATTGTCAACTTAATTACCTTAATACCATTCAATCCACAATATTCTTTGACTTTTAGATTGTGGAGCGTCATCCCGTTCCCAATCAGAGGAAGCACCCTTACAAAACGTGCACGTCCCATGTGGATTTCGAACCATATTGATGTCCCCATAGGCGGGGATATATTCCTGGATGACATGGGGGAAGAATAGCAAGGATGAAGTTCCATTGCAGGGGCGCTTCTAAATGATCGCTACGTTTTCGCTGCCTCACGCTGTGTCCCGCTGCCTCACCCACTGTTGGGTTTTAAAAGTTATCTGTGTGTTTATTGCAGCAACAGCATTGATCTAGACATTTCTCATTGATAGATGCTCTCCTAATAAATGTGTATGACGGGTGTACAAAGCATGAGTTAATTACGATGGAAATGTTCTACTGCATAATCCTGGTATACGATTTCATTAAGGGATGAGACTGAAATCATCATCATGCATGCATTCCTTGTCCGCATGGCTTGGAGGATACGAGTAATTCAGAAATTCAGAAAGAAACAAATTGCGTGAATACGGTGGTGCCTTCGCACGAACGACGAGTGGGTGCCTTACGGCCTTCCCGACATACCTTTTCTATGAGGAAGATCGTTCTGTCCTGTCTTCTCCGCTGCAGATCACGCGGAGAATTTCAAGACGAACAGCGAGGAAGTCCGAGTGGTGCGCAGCAGCCAGTGGTGGGCTGGACCCTCATTCGTCGCAGGTTGTCTGCACCTTCTGGTTTCTTCGTTGGCTTCTCGTTCCCTCGTCTTAGAAATGTAATGGTGCCTCGTCCTATTTCACGTTTATTAGTTCTGTTTCTCTTCATTTACGGAGTAAAACATGGATGACCTCTCTTCTTCATAGGTCAAGTGGAAAATGCTCATGATACACCTTTGATGCCTCTGCGAAGGAAATGTCCATGTTTCTCCTATTGAATGAAAAAGCTGTGTTTTCTCCAAACACCGAGAGAATCTCCTTTTTCTTATCTGCTCATGGTATTCATGGGAACCTACGCTGCCAGTACTGACAGAATTATTTCCGATCAAGGAATGTATGACATGGGTTGACAAGGAACTTTACCCATATGAATTTCCTCATTTTCCATTTTCCACCCAATTGCCCGATCGTCACGATTAGGAGCGAATACTCGGAATGAATTCTGCACAATGTCATCGTGTGTGAAGAAAAGAGGAGAGAGAGTGAGAACCCCCGAGATTACCAAGAAATTTCCGACATATTCATGATTCCTTGAGGAATTTCCTGAAATGGTTCATTGGCATTTGGTTTCCTCCTCGTGCATGCATCTAAGTAAATAAGAATGAGATCGTTTCCGGTGATATCCTAGCTCTCTGGGATCCCCAGTCCTTCGATGGTCTGGATGAAGAGCAGAGGTAAACGTGTCTTATCGGCGAGGTTCAGGATATAAGAGCCCGGAGTGCTTTTAGATTCCTCATTTCCCATGTGAACAATTCGATAGCGAAGCGTTCCAGACATGAGAGCATTTGTCACCACAATCTTCCTTCTCTTTCTCGTACTATACGTCCGTGTCCAGGTCTGTTCAGAGTCTCTACTCTATGGGGATACTGAATTGGAAGTGAAAAAAGTTACTGTTGAAAATCATACAGGGCGTTGAGAATGCAGCGTCTAGAGATTTCTCGTCGTCGCAGGATTCCATCGGTTTTCCAGGTACCGTTCTATCCATTATATGGAATTCTTTCCCCATCGAGCAAACTCGGATATTGTTTCATTTTTCGACCTGTCTCATCGGAGAATTCAACGTCCGAAATACGTGAAATGCTGAGATGGAGTTGCCCTGTTCTATCCGAATTATCTTCCATTCAATCCGAAGAGTGATGCATTGGTGATGCTCAAGCGCTTCTTTCTTCCTTCTGTCCCTTTTCTCTCTGTTGCTGCTGATCAAACGCTATGGAATCGAGGCCTTACGAACATTAGGAATATTAACGTAGGAACTAGTTGTCAGTAATTTAGTCAGTAATTTATCCCCGCGCCAAGTGTGGCTTATCTCCGAGGTTCGTGTGTTACAGGCTTGGGCCAAGTACATCAGCCCACACATGCATCCGTGGGCCATGGATGGCATGTGCATGAGCGGTAGCGGAAATGTCCGCCTTATCTGTGGCACTCTCAAGGGTGGGCCAAGTGTGGGGTATGCGTGGGGCACGTTATTGCCAAAGATAACCTGGCTGGTCTGTTTGCACGTGAAAGAATGGCACCAACGTGGCGTATGTGTCGGCTCCTCAGTAAATGTCCGTTATTTCTGCGGCAACCCGTAACCTACAAGAGTGGAGACATTTCTATCATCAGTACTAGTACTGCGGATACTGCCGTAACTCCTGCACAACAAAGAGTCTGACGCGTGGATAGACAGGATGCTTAGGATAATACCCTGATACGTTCTAAGTATAGTATGTTTCATGGGAAGGTACGTTTTCATCTCTTTATGACCTACGGCTAAGCACAAGATCATTCCATAATTTCCTCATTCCAACTTCATGACGAAGAAATGAAATGCTGAATATGAGGGCACCATCATTGTTCTAAAACTCTTTTTGCATGAGGTAACCGTCAATTAGTAAACGGTTCTTATTATTGATATGAGCTTGTTTATGGCCTGGACTCGGTGAATTTGTCTCGAATAAGGGGATACAAATTGAAGAAATATCCGCTTTTATTGATTCTCATAATGAGAATAGGCGAGAGTATGGTGAGGTACTAAACACTATTGTGTACATTAGTGTACTGAGCGAAAAACGAGACCCACACCTCCATCTAGTGATATGAAGGGGAAAATCAACATTTCTCACTATAATAAGTATTTCACGTTTCAGAGGTAGAACAACCCCTGTATGCCTCCTGCCAATCCACGGATCAGACTCTTGCTTCCACAGGAGTTATGCCAGTTTCAGCAGTACTAGTACTGTAAATAGAAATGTCTCCACCATTGTAGGTTACGGGTCGCCGCAGAAAAAGCAGACATTTACAGAGCGGCCCACACATACGTCACGTTGGTGCCGTGCTTCTACGTGCAGACGGACCAGACAGAACATTTTTTTCAATAACGTGCATAAGCCACACAGCGCCCCGATAAAGGTGCCACAGATAAGACGGACATTTCCGCTACCGCCCATGCAAATGCCACCCATGTCTCATGGATGCATGCGCGAAGCTCATGTACTTGGCCCAAGCTTCTAACACGCGAACCTCGGAGATAAGCCATACTTGGCGCGGGGATAAATTGCTGACTCGGTACGCTCGTGCCAATAAAACATTTGCATGCAATGCAATAGCAGCGCCATATTATTGACCGTGTCCGTCAAGCGAGCTGTCCAGGGAATCTAATCATGCGCAATTTCGTTCGCGTTTACAAAATAATACGGTGGTAGCAACTAAAAGGTCATGTTTTATGAAAATTCTATTTCTTCTCTACATCTTGTTCATGAATTTTCCTAAACTTTTGCCAACATATATTGTCTGATTATAAGAAAACATGCAAAATGCAATTCAAATATGCATGAAATGCGATCCTGAATCACTCCAATCTGCAGCGAAAAAGACATGTGGAATTTCCTGAAATGGTTTCTGTGTCCAAAGCATGAAACTGGCGCAGTCTAATTAATCCGAAAGCTTTCAGAGGAGCAATATAATACGATTTTATAAATAATAAACAAGTTAAGAAAATAAATAAGCGCTATCGCAACTTTTTACAACACAAATAGGCTTAAATTGGCTTGCCTCGAGATGAAACATTATGGAGTGAATACAATGATAGAGTAAGGAGGGAGAAATTTTGAAATGGTATTCAGAAAAAAAATTCAAAAAGAGGTGGAAATATTTTTTCCTTTCAAAGGTACGTTTGCATGTTTGAAGCTGATTGAATTCGGTTATTCCATTGTTTGATACTCATGTCATTCGGAGGTCTTTGAGAAAGATTAAATGAAATTGGCGATATTTCCATGACAAAAAGTGATGGAAATAATTATGTGGGCAGATTTGTTCTCAGGGAGTTCCTGTAGGACGGAGATAAGTTTCCTCATAGATGTCAAGCCGATGTTTTTCTCCTTCGTGAGATAAGACAAAGGCCACTCGACAGAGACACATTGCCATCTGGCAGGATTCCTGTTCCTATATACCTTTGATACCGTTTACTTTGATAAGCACCATTCCCTCCTGCCCTCTCCATCCGATATGATTTTAGTACCTTAGAAGGATATCGACGTCTGTGCTGTCCGGTATGGGGACGCGAGTGTCCAACACATTTTCCATAGTGAGGACGTGCGCATCCACCTCTTTCCCCTTTTCGTCCACCTGCCATACAATTGCCGCGCTCCACCGGTGGATGCAGATGAACGTCCTTAAGGGATCAATCAATGATCCTGAAATCGGTATTGAATCTAGCAAAACCTGACAGCGTGCAGCAGATCCTCTACTGATTTCAATACGAGTAGGATGCTGAAACATTCTCATCTAGTGTCGTCTTTTCTTCCAGGCGCAAGAGATTCTCTGCCCTGCAGTAAGTTCAGAAAATGATGCTTCATTATACTAAGAGCCATTTAAAGTCATTATCCCCTTTCACAATTCAATCGTTAGGTTGTGGAGTTTCTGAAGATGAGGAAACATCCTATGATTCTCAAGAGATACTGGAGGAGTCTGATTTGAACCGAATCATAGGAGGAACACCCGTCCCAAGTCAGAGGAAGTATCCTTGGATGGCATGGATGACTGATGGCGCTGGGTTCTGCGGAGGAGCCCTCATCAATGATCGCTACGTCCTCACTGCTTCCCACTGCGTCTTCCAAAAGTGAGAATAGTGCATGTACCCATAGTCATCCTTCTAAAAAATAGGCTCAGATTTAAGTGTACCGATCACCATTTGATTCAGCTCGTAGCTAGCATTAATATCGAAACACGGACAGTGGTTCAAAAACAGCCCTTCACCTCCTGGCGAGGATGTGCTGGGCTTGCAAAACCCAAGTGGCCCGGGCACCAGAGGCGTAGCGAGGGGAGGGGGGGAGGGGAGACTGTTGCCCCCGGGCGCAGGGCTGAGGGGGGCGTAGACTCAAAACAAGAAAGTTTGAGTACCTGAGGGGCTCCCTGAGTTTGCGCCCCCCTCAGCCCTGCGCCCGGGGGAAACTGTCTCACCTGCCCCCCCTCTCTACGCCTCTGCCGGGCACCCTGGAGCTCTTCAATGCAGAGACCCATGCAACGAGTAGCACCACGAGGCTAGACGTGACAATTTAACCCTTTAAATACTCATATATACGACCCTCGCCTTTGACTCTGAGCGGAATTGTTATACGGGTGCTGCACAAAAATGTTCCTCATTTTTAAAGCTGATAAAAATGTTTTATAAGCGATATCGGTATTGCAGACATATTGATACATAGGAAAACTACAAACTTAATCTGATTACATAATGTGCTCATAGTGAGCTCTCCGAAGGTCAGCACACTTGCGAACACGTAGGGCACAGCAGGCTACTTTTAAAATGAGGGCCATTTTTGTGCCGCATCCTGCATTTATTAAATTATTTGTTAAATGTTCACGTTTTTGTCAGGCGAAATTCGCCATGCATCGAATATAGGAGGAGATAAGGCATTCACATTCTTCACTGAACGTGCCTTGAGAAGTTTTGACAAGTACCTTTTCATTGACACTGTCAATTGGTCACGGAAACAACAAGAGGGGTTGGCTGGTTGGCGGGTGTTACGGAGCGTAAATTTACGCCGACAGTATTGTACGCTTGCCAATGAGCGGGCGTATATATAGACCGAGAGCATTTAAGGGATTGAAGATCTATGATGATGAAAATTGATGAACATGTACCGGACTGCTCAAGTAGCCTCGCGGGCGAAGTTGTATTTCTGAAGAAAGCACAATTGCAGCTTGAGCGTCGCTTCCCCGCCCCACTTTCCGTAATATAATCTCATTTGAAAAAGAAGCGCATTGTGACAGTGCGGAGTCCTAGTGCGACCATCAATACTCCCGGGAAGACACCAGAAATTATCTGTTTTTTCAACTCAGTTGAGAGGATACGCTAAGCCTGTGACACCTGTGCAAAAAAGTTGCCTGTTCTGGTCTTGCAGGACAAGCCCGCAAAGTGGCTGTCATGATCAAAAACCTGCTGCCTATAAGCGTTTTGCATAAGTCTCAGCTGACCTTTTCTGCCCTTCTGCTTCTTTGCTGCAGAGGTTGAAGTAGCAAAGTGACACCGCAGAAATGAGTCGAATGTACTGATCTTGCAAAAGGGTGGTGTTGTGTGATCTGCCAGAGAGTGGACAGTCACACGTTGAACCATGTTCCTGAAACCAGTCCCATAACCTTCAGACGGTACACATGTACACTTAAAAATGTCTTCCAACGATTGACTAGGATTCACTAATTTCTAATTTCCTTAAAACATTATTGCAATCCGCCTGAGAGACTCGGCAGAGACGGCTGTACTGCACTACAACGACCGCCTTCCAATTGGCGAGAACCTAGCCATATTATTGAAAACAGCATTACACGACATTGCACCAGGTTTCATTGGTATCCTCATGCATTTTACTATGCTGCTGGTAAAGCTTGAATTCAAGCACTAGCGGTTAGATATAGTGTATATTTAAGATCAAAATAGAGTGAAACACTTAAGTTAGCTTCGCTATGCATGAATTAATAGCTACATGGCTTGACTTCATTAAGCTGTGCTTGAGATGAATTCATATTTCAATGTTGATCATTTCAACATTTTCAAATTTCACCATGTTGCTGGAACCAGTCCCATAACCTCGAGACGGTACACCTGTACAATAAAATGTATTGTAACTATTGACTGGGATTCATTAAATTCCAATCTTCTCAAAGCATTATTGCAATCCGCCTCTGAGAATCTCGGTATTCTTGACGGCTGTACCGCACTACCACAACTGCCTGCCAATTGACGAGAATCTAGTTCAATTATTGTAAACAGCATTACGTGACATTGCACCAGGTTTCATTGAACCAATGGTTTTCTCATGCATGTTTTCTAGGTTACTGGGTAAAACTTGAATTCATGCACAAGCGGTTACAGATCGTGTACATTTCAGATAAAAATTATGTCAAACACTAAAGTTCGCATCGACATACTTGAAATAATTGCTACATGTCGTGCCTTCATTGAACTGTAATTGAAATGAAACCATATTTCAACAATGCGTTTGTATTTTCGGTGGGTATGTATTTATTAAGGTCATGAGGATTTCAATCAGTCCTGATTCCACACGTTCTCTGAAAATCCCACCGACTCTAGTTCGTCCGGAAAGTACAATGTGACTCTGGGAAACCTGGACGTGTTCAATACATCTAATCCCGAGGCCATCAAGATTTCAGCGACTGCCATCATGCATCCTGAATTCAAAAATGTAACTTCTGGGAACGACGTCGCCCTTTTGAAACTCGACACTCCATTGAACTTCACAGATCATCCGCACATCTGCCCCATATGTATCTCCACTGATGTCAACCCGAATCCAGGAACAAAAGTGACGATCGCGGGGTGGGGTCGCATTTCAGGAGGTGAGGTCAAGACGAAGAATTGGCAAGAGAACTTTATGAATGACTTAAATGCTGCTTTAACCCATATGACCACATTTCAGGTGGCCCTATGTCGGGTAAGTTACGAGAAGCGACAGTGTACGTGATCAGTCAAGAGGCTTGTCAGGACAATTTCCACATGGTTAACATCTCCGAGAACGTAATCTGTACGCAGTCCGGTGGAAAAAACGTCTGCAACGTAAGCCAAAGATAAAGTTATGAAATATCTATGGATTGAAAATACAAATTTCTTAAATTTCTTCTCGAGGGTGATTCTGGGAGCTCGTTGATGTACCAAACTCCTGCTGGATACTACATAAGCGCTGGGATCACGTCATTTGGTAGAGAAGGTTGTTCGCCTGAATACGGAGCCGTCTTCACAAGAACAGCGAGTATGTGATTGATGGCTTCTCCAAAGAACCTTTTCAGCGAAGAAAACCGTCGTTTCATGCATTTTAATTACAGATTACTTGCGAGATTTCGTCAAGAGCAACACCGAAGATGCTGTTTGGTGCCGACCACCCAGTGGTGCCCAGTCCCTTCGTTCTTCGAAGTACTTCCACTTTCATCTTTTCTGGTTTCTTGCTTCTCTTCTTGTTCTCTCGTCCTGGAAATGAAACATCCCTTCCCTTTCCATATTTCGCTGCATTTTTCCTCCTCGACGTCCATGGTCGAACATCGATAACTTCCTATTTCCGTAAGTCACATTAATCATGCTAATGATCCACTCGATGCCGCTGCTTAGGGAACGAAGGGAACTCTTACTGTGAATAATGGGCGTCATCTTTGGAGTAGCCTGCCTTCTTCCGTCTCCGCTGAAGAGCGAAGGATTGAAATCCCTTCATGCGCGACAACGGTGAATGTCACCATTCGCCCTCAACTTCTGTGCTGCAAGGTCCATGTTCAGAAACACCTCGCAAGAAATTACTTTCTCGCAATCTCCGGTTGAAGCGTGGCACAACAGAAAAACGTCTGTGTCGAAGACAAACAGCCTTTTTTATTTTGCTCATGTGGATCGCATGCAAACTTCTGAAAACGGGCAATCGGAATTGAACTATCCCTACTGTTACACTACGAATCTTCGATGCATGAGATTGCGTTTGCTCGATTCCCGGAAGTCGCTCGCACGCACATGACCATGTATTGATGTACAAAAATATAGGAAATTATTACGGATCGTGCTTTCAAAACATTAGCATGTCACATTTTTTTAAAGCAACAGAGAAAGCCTCGCTTCTTCATTCATTGTCGTACATTTTTAGTGCAGTGAATGGAGTGTTTAAAAAACTTGGTGTCTTTCGGAGGTTTTCATGATTTCCCTTGAATGACCTCTGCAATATGTCCTAACCAGTCTCATGCAGGCCTCAACCAGGAATTTTTAGTGAGTTATAATGGCATATTTGAATTCGGCACGAATCTAGAACAGGCCCAATGGTAAAAATTGGGCACTAATTGGCCATAACAATCAAACCAAGCAAGAAGACGCAAGTTTCCAACTGCCATTTTCTTGCTTGATTTGATTTCATCCTTGTAATAAACTTGGTGGTTTTTCACAGAACGTTCTGTTTCAGCACTTCGTGCAACCATCATGAGGAACGTACCAAATATCATTAATTTTATTCATGTATTTTCCAGCAGAGAAGGAGCATCTCTTGCATTTTTATATTTCTAGCGACGCTCGACCTCTTTGTGGAAGCTTTGTGGAAGATAAGCGACAACGTGGCAGTTGAAGTCTCTGACGTCTGATCGATACATTCTCATTAAAAAATAAACCGCAAGGACTAGTAACTTTGACTACCGGATTGCCAGGATCGGATGAGATAGCTGGACGGGACTTCAAGATGGAGCGATCGCGCATGATAAAATGCAAGGTGAGAACCTTGAAACGTAAACAAAATATTGCTGCAACATGCAACAAATTGCTGCGGTATATCCTTCTGCGAACGGTTTGGGAACTGAAATATGGCTTAAGGGTACTCCGTTCTTCCCTTGTCTAAACCTGTCTAATTGGAAATAACATCGGCTGGCCCCTTTTCAGACGTATGTTATGCATAGAGGTTCTATATCAGGACGCGGGCATCGACGCGGGGAGATGAATCAAAGCTCTTCATCGCAGTTACTTTATGGTGGCCGTTCCCTTACGAAAGAGTCCTATAGGAATTCATATTTCATTCCATTCCGTATTCCGATTCGACAACCATCATCAGTGATGCATTCAATCCACACCAAATCAACGTTAATTCAATGCTATGTGCTACCTGGGTATAGTCGTTCTCTCCAAGCAAAGGAATGAAAAGGGGATTCGCCTTCACTGTCCAAATATTTCTCCTTCCTCTCCCTCGAAGGGGGGGGGGGGGGGTATCCCCTGTTCTTCTCGTCCGTGAAGGAACTGCCCCATCCTTAAAAAGGTCATCAGAATAAAGGAAGTTTGGTATGTTTCTTACGACAAGGTATGGCGGCGGAAGAGGCAAGGAAGTGATTCTCCTCGATTGTCGCTTGGGTGCGACATGTTTTTTCATGCCGCCCAGCATGGGCGTCGAGGAAATTGCACCAGTAAAGCTCAACGACAGTGATATGTATCATTTCGACGGCCTGCATCGGTCCACCCTTTGCGTTTCTTCTCATACGAGTGCCACTTCGATCGATTTTCTTGTCGCCCTGGCATCTACGTTGTAATAAAGATTTCTCGGTTTCAAAACTGATCTTCGAAGCTTCAGCGAGAACGGCAACAAAACAGCAACCATTCACAGTCGAAATTTGCTTTTTTGACACGATTAATATCATAGCCTTCCTGATGATACTTGACCACGAGAAGGATCGGTTCTTGGCTGGCGCCGAACAGGGAGGATAGCCACCCGAAAAATGCAATGCGAAAACGAAATTATCCCCGGAGGTCATTTTTCGGATGAAAAAGAATTTGCATCGAATGCATCAAGCAAAATGGTTAACACGTTTATATCATGAATCCATACTCTTCCCTTCGGTTCAAGGGGAGTTGGAAAGGAAACTTCGGAACCGATCTCACCGGTTCTGAGCCGGAACCCGAGTCCCTCGACCACGGTCGAGAGGAGTGGAGCTCTTTCTTCTTGCTGGGACGGGTCTACCATGCATTCAATATTATTTGAAGTTGCTATCAAACTTGCATAATCTATGGGGGGAAATTTTGGCATGCCTGCCATGTAAACAGGCCAAATTGGTGGACAGTCACTGGCATTTTCGTAACAGTAGCAACGATCTCCTTCGGATAATCTTGAGTTTTGCAACTGATTTTGCCCTTTAGGAGATACTGAAATCAAGTAGCAGTTAGTACTTGTTGCGGTACCATAAGACATCAGCATATGAAGCAGCGGAATGAGTGGATGACATTCATTGGCGGTCCAAGTGGACCTAGCGCTTAGGAGTCCAAGAGCGTTTTTTTTTACCAATCAGCCAAAAACAGAGGCACATGGAAATGCAAAAGGGACGATAAGAGAATTCGTTCTCATTATGCCATTGCCTGGGGAATTTAAATCGCCATTCCATTCGCCTGTCGGAGAATATATTCTCGGTACGCAGTGCGAGAATTAGAAGCTGAAAGAAAACGCCTCATAGTTCTCGGTAGATATGACAACATATGCTGCATGAAATTTAAAGGTAATGCAATTTAAATGTAACTGTGATGTGGTGTGGCACTCGAACAAATTGAGCTTGAACGGAGTGAGGTAAAAATGTGGCAAAAGCTGAAAACGAAATTTTGAAAGTTTTGAATTCCTTGCCTGCTTGCTTCGGTTAGTTGAAGAAGCTTGTTGCTGCACTGATCACATTCATTGGTTCCACTGATATTTGTGAACAGGTGTTTTATTTCGCGAACTCAATTAAATCAGATTTGCGCAATATGCCTCACATATGAGTGCGCCGAGGGAGTTGTGCAGTTTTCGAAAAATGTCGGCTCTGAAAACGAAAAGTACCAACCTATAATTGAAAAACTGTGAAAATAAAATTCAGTCATCGAAGTCTTACTGAGACTGGCACGCCAGACCCTGATTAATATTAATATTTTGTTTCGTTGTCAGTGAAGCCAAAAAAGGTTCGTCATCACTGCTTTGTTGGTATATGGGGAAAACTCGTGACAGCATCTTCGAAGACGCCATCTCGTACCAGTTTTCTTAGCATGAGGTAGTTTAAAGAAAAATCTATTGCTAATCGGTAGATCAGAAACAGATATGGCTATTTCCTTCTCCCGACATTGTTATCTTTGTTTGCTTGCATCTCATTCCTGCTGCTGCTTCAATTCCATATGCATTCAGTCCCTCAGGTGGATGTCGATGTCCACGTCATCTCTCGTCCCACTGAGGGAACATGCATGTTCACTTCCCTTCGCCCAGTCGTCCGCCTGCACTCTGAAATATCCTTTAGTTCTTTTACTGTCAAGTGTTCGGCATCCTGCTATCCGTTGAAAGTCATGAGGAACTAAAAAAAGGAAGCTTTCAGTACCAGAGTGAGACGGAGAAAGGCTTGTTTTCTGCTTTACAGATGCATTCTATAGCAATGAACTCATGGCGTTGACAGGAACATTTCAATTCAGAAAAATTCAGCAGATACTCAACAGCTTTCCATGCTATGTGAGGAAAATTACTACAAAAAAACTCAATAAATGTCCCGATGGGTCGTTAATGGAGTTGTAGGGGTGAAGATTCAAGAGACCGATCAACCCCCACCAAGGAGCCTCATAGAGAAAAAGGTGCACGTGTTTAGTTGCAATCTTCGTTACTCCTTCATCTGGAAAGAGGATGATGAGATCATTTGGGAAGCGATCGGAACTGTGATGGAAACAAGCCAAAAATTTCGGCTCGTTAACAATGACCCACAGACGAGAGGCACCTGGAGTCCTTCGGTACGGTTCCCTTCTCGACTGGGTTCATCCAAGATTTCCAAAAGGTCATGTTTTATGCGGGAATATAGCGAGTTCTATATGAAAATTACAGGAGACACGTTCCAGCGGCATTAGGGTGCGAATTGCGGACTTGGCGGCTAGGCGCAAGCGCGCATTGGTTTGCTAGAGTTATACTAGCTTCATCTGTGAAAGAAAAATAAATGAGGAAATGTTCCTTTTTCCTACAATGCCGAATGCTTCATAATGACGACCTTCCAAGATGATGTGTAACTCTCATTCGCCGATATTTTCGTTACATTTTAAATCGGATTTCCTTGTAAAAAAAAAAACAGGGAATGTCAGTAAGTGAATAACTCAACATAACATTTACAATGTTTCTAGAAAGTGAGTTGGCCTAAATTTTCTACACGTTTCTGAAGGCTTTATCCGAAAATACATGACTATGTTTTACAATGAGGCGTCCACCTGGCATTTCCCAAAGGTGGATGCANGCCTCATAGAGAAAAAGGTGCACGTGTTTAGTTGCAATCTTCGTTACTCCTTCATCTGGAAAGAGGATGATGAGATCATTTGGGAAGCGATCGGAACTGTGATGGAAACAAGCCAAAAATTTCGGCTCGTTAACAATGACCCACAGACGAGAGGCACCTGGAGTCCTTCGGTACGGTTCCCTTCTCGACTGGGTTCATCCAAGATTTCCAAAAGGTCATGTTTTATGCGGGAATATAGCGAGTTCTATATGAAAATTACAGGAGACA